AAAATTTAACCTGCAGTTGCATATTACTACTTACATACTTAATCTGTATATAAAATAACAACAACGAAAAGGTTTGCTCAACAACTCTGATCCAGTCATTAAAAACTGGTTCGAAATTTTGATACGGTTCGTCATCTAGTGTTAAGAAGGTGCTACTTTACGATAAGGTTCCGTTTAGCGTCTCGGTTTTAAGATAACTGTTAAAAAGTAGCGAAATTTTTAGGCTCCAAGTCGGCGGGTAGCCCCCGTGGCATTGTAGTTTAAAACAAAACACACAATATATTATGTTATTAAAAATAAATTAAAAAACAAAACATGAACTAAAACATTCACTGTTTACGTTCATACTGCCAATGTCAATTGGCAAACACATAATAGTCTGTGGTGAAACAGTCGCACAGAGTTAATATTGTCGGTAAAGTATTTAAAAATTTTGCCAACAAAATAATTACAAACAGCTGGATGAACTGTGAATTTTGTGTGATTATCAAATATTCCTTTTTCAATAGTCTGTGGAGCTCTCGGTAGAGAGTAATTGTGTTTTGTGCTGTGTAGTGAATGTCAAGTACTGACCTCTATATACAAGATGTAAAGGCAAAAAAGCGTTTATTTTATATATTAGACATCTATGTTTTATGTAAATAGAAATCATGGATAATACATATTTAAATATGTATTAGAGTTAAAAGTGAAATACAGCTTGCTTATTATACAAACTTAAAAAACATTATGAATCACGGTCGAATTTCGACTAATGAACGACCACTAGTTCTCATTAAGTTATAAAATGATACTGATTATAAATGATGCTGCAGAATTGAGTGGCAGAGTCGGCCAGGGACGCCATCAATTGAAGTTTAACGACCAAATTATTGAAAATGGTCCTAATTAAGATTAACCTTAACCGACGAGTATGTATGCGTAGGTACATCGATGTGAAAGAAACAAGAGAGATGTGAGGATCGTTTCAAATGGAAGTCCATAACAAGTATGAGAGTTTATATGAATCATGTTATCTATGTACGATTAATAAATGTTGAAAACTAATATTTAATATGAAATCTCGTGAGACTTGTCTAGCTTTCTAGTATGAACATTGAACAAACTTGCTCTGTCTTCAACAATTTTAAATTTTCAAAAATAGAAAAATATTTTTTCCAACGTCTTCTTCAACCAAGTCTACTACACTAGTAGTGGTGTATTGGAACTTTCTCTGTTATCCAATTCCGTGTATCTTAATAACTTGATTTATTAACACTTTATTGTATAAAAAAAAAAGAATTACAAAGTGCGGAATTAATAACGCCTTTTCACATTTTTTTCAGTCAACCCGTGACGTCTAATGTCAAGGTGCTACCAAAAATAAAAAACAACTAAGATAAATAAGCAATACAACAATAATATTACGTAATAAACCAATACATATATGCAACAGATACCTATAAAATATACTTCTGTTTTTAATAGACACATACTAATAAGCTGTTAATAGATATAGATATAACTACACATAACTACATACATACATATACGAATACAATTGAATATGTACGTGTTAATATACCAACAAATAAATGATATAGTTTGCATGCACTATCTTATAACAAAAGCATCCAAAACATGACATTGACATAAATAATTTACGTCCACATTGCAAGTACAACACATTAATAATAACGATGATTTAATCTTCTTGTAAGTGCTGTTTATGGGTTCTTTACGTGAAGTTATGCATAATAAATGAAAATCGACTGGTATACTTTTGTTCGCTGTGCATTTTACGTTATTAGATTTTATGTGCATACCTACTTCGCTGTTATTGCGTGATTCCTACTACTGGTTACTTTCATTATCCATGAAACATTATAGAGTTAGGTTCGCCTGCCGACCATAGCAACTATGCCCTCTGTTCAGTAGTCGACTTTTGTTAGGCTGCAATGATGATAATGTTGATAAAAACTATCCGTCCAAAGTCTATAGTACAAACATACAAACAGTACACATTTTATATCAACATGTATACAAACCGTTCACATTTACATAGTCTATGCAATCCGAATATTTACGGCTTTAAACCGATGGCATCATTCTGACTCACTGCTCGATGTGCTCACGACGCGGTAGTTTAGCCTTCGCTTCGTCTGCTGCTCGTGTTTACAAACAGACGCGTATTAAAATACCTGTTTCGCAATTTTTTTTACAATCGAAATAAAAATATTTACGGTTTTTACAGTAATACACCAGTAACGGGAACATGTAATGTAGGTGCGAAAGTAAGGACAAAATATTACCTATCTAAAAATTTGTTTACTAAGAAAACGGGATCTTGTATATTTACCAAATTTATTTTAATTTCCCGAAGGGCTCATGATATCCTTGAGAGCGACTTCTGTTCTTGACACTGTTGGAAAGTGTCTAGGGACAGTTTTATTTCAAATTCCTTTCCCGGGAAGGGATATAATTTGTTTTAAGCTCTAGAGTTATTTTAATAAAATGTTTTCGGTTGAAAACATATATAGTTTATAACCGTATCATGTTGTGTAGTCAATAAAGTACTTTTACATACTCCAATAATAATACGCGATATTGACATTTAAATTATTTTTAGCTTTAACCTTTTTTATTAGCTGCTATGTACATACATATTATAGCGCTAAAAGCTAGTTGAACCCGTACGACGACCCCATCGCGACGCCATTGTGCTTGCGACCGGTGCTCATGAAATATGAACGGATTGTCTGAAAACCATCCATGCCCCTTACTTTTTTGACCAAAGACCCTTATTTTACTCACATGCTTTTATTGTAACAACATTTAACTAAAAGATTGAAGATGAGCATGACAAGTTTAAGTGTCTCTTACATATTTAAATAAACCAGTCTTCATTGTGAGATGTTCGCATAAAACAGACAATTACACGTTATAAAAATAGGGTGTCAAACTTGAAGCTTATTAACAAAGGAAAATTTTAGTTATGCACGGTATTTACAATAAAATAAGAAACAATAATACTTAGTAGGTTTCATTTCCATTCAAGGCACTTGTCTTTGAAAATTGTATTTTTTGGATTATTTAAAAATTTATAACTTTTCGAAGCCTATTGCATGCTTGCACCGATAATCAGTACCTTTAATTAGTGTGTATGTACATATATCTTATATATTATTATCGTAATATGATACTACCACTATATACTTCGCTTATATTTATACTAGACTATATATACTATACTTTATGTAAGTATAGAAATGAACAAGATGTATTTCTTTTTATTTACTCATATCTCTGAATAAAACATTGCTATTTCAGATGAAATATTCAGAGGCTGCATCTGAACAACGTCTCTGTATTGCGATCACAATGCAAGCAAGTTTTAAACGTAACTTGTGCAAATGTTTATGAGCTGTGTTTTCCAGTCATTAAGCCTTTTGCAAATTTAAATTCTCTGCTTCCACGCACGAGACGATAAGTAATATTTCTTTACAAAAATGTATCTGCAATTTTTTTAAGCTTTAATACAGACTTAGTAAAATACGCTAATATTTAATTTAATTTAATTTCTTTAAAATTAAAGTAAAGAGAAAAATGGAGAGAAACAGAGGACGTTTTGCTTGACCTTACAAAGGCATACATAGTTTACTTTCATCATCATCATAGGCTGGAATGCCAAAAAGCATTGTCCTGAGCCACCTGCATCCATCTTCATCACCATCCTCTTGCATCTCTCACCATCTCGTTACTCCTAGATAGTTCGAGGCCACCCTACACTTCGTTTGCCGATACAGGGCTGTCACTTTTCACATTTTTCCTCGCCGGTTTTCGGTTCTTCCAGTATTATCGCTGGCCCATTGTGACTTCAGCTAACTGATCCGTTGGGTTACTTTGGTTCTACTACGGATATTCTCAATGCGAGGTCTTTCACGCACATATCCCTCTCATATAACTATAGTTAGGTGACGCATAGATTTTAATTACAATATACAAAATTTGATCTGCTCAACGTTCAAAAACTTTATTAAACAAAGTTTGTATAAAAAGGGCTATTGTAATATTAAGGAATTTATGGATGATAATAATCCTGTTTTGTCTGGTTAATTGTGTAACATACATGATTGTAAGCTATTATTTAAAAAAAGTCCCGCTGCGTTTCTTGTTGGTTCTTCCCGGGACAGAGGTTTTATTTCGAACCAGAGGTAATTACACAAAAAAGTGAATTTCAATAAGTATTATTTATAATCTATATTAAATAAAAGAATTTCTGTTTCTGTTTCTATTACTAAAGTTTTTTTGAAATTCGAAATTTCTAGACAGTCCACTCGTGGTCTTTTCAACATAAATATGACACGAAAAAGACTTTTATGACATAAATAAAGCGTTCCACGCTATTATTGCTAAACCTTTTTACCTGCAATAATTCAACAATAAAAGAAATTAGATACTACTTGACAGGTAAGTGGGTAGGTAAGTAGGGTGGCAACGAGCCGAATTTTAATTGAAAACTTGCGCCTGTCGCCTCTGCCTTAAAGACAATTTGTACAAATTTTTGTATTTATTCGTTTTACAATTTCTGTAAATTGATGTCTTATTAAAGTAGCCAAGCACTTAAATATTTTCTAACGTGATTATATATTTTAGGACTATTATTTTTAAATAGTTAACGAATACCTGTGAGACATACTGTTAATAATATAATAAATAAATAATAAAATTAAATTAAAACATTACTTTTAATAATTAAATATATTTTAAAAAAATAAAGAAAGGAAAAATAACGGCTAAGCATTACACTCACCCTTAATGGGAAGTTACGTATTAACAGGAAAGTTGACAACCATGCTAAAATATTGTAACATGTATCAGCGGACTGTAAGCACAATGCATATTCTCAAGGTAAACAAAGATTACGTAAACGCAATCCCACGCACGCACGTCACCCGATCGATTCCCAAACTTTTGAATACGCCCACTTATAATTTTACAAGATCAACGACTAGACTCACTCGTATTGCGCCACAACACCGCATCCAAAGCAAAGCACTACGATGTCGGTCTCCTGTGCCCTTGAAGTAGTACAGGTTATGTTATCGATAAAGCACAACACGCGCACTGACAGTTCAGAAAAACAATCACAGGCTAAGTTAGTTGCCGGTTCCGCAAACTACGTTGAATTAAAGTGAGAAAGTTTAGACGTCCTGACCTAGTTTACATAAATATTTCATATTAAAAATGCTACGAACATTATAAAATACGGAGGGTTTGTTGCGGTTCCGACGCAAAACAACATCCAGACCCTCTCGTGGTCAGGTACAGACTGAACCGTAAGGACGCCGCGCCGCCGACCGTATGGCGACTGGTGACTGGTGAAGTGCGACCCCGCACTCCACCGCGGGTGCCGCCGAGCGGCCTGCCTTATGCGCGCGCCTCCTTACGCATGATGATATCAAACAAAAAACATCAGGTTATCAGTTTAATTCAATATTTTTATCTTACACAGATTAGCTTAAACTTAAACACAAGCACACTGCAACAACAACATTATCAGTAAATACTAAATTTTTCTTTGAGTATTTAATTTTACTAAACACAAATTTAGGTAGGTAGGACCTGAGGCTTCGACGGCTCGGGATGTAAACATCAGCATGCTTAAAAATAAGTATAACAAAGCCTCTAGGTACTTCAAAAGTGTTATTGCCAAGCCAAAGTATGAGCACATTGGTAAATTGGCAAGAAATTAGTTCGCCTTCCTTCGGGAACACGTGCATTCTGGTCTCTCGCCAAGGCTGTTCAAGGGAATTTCTGTAAGCCGTCACTACCATCTCTGCATAAGGAGGACGACTCTCTGACACATGCCACAAAAGAGAAAGCCGACCTTTTAGGCTCCCTTTTTGCGTCCAACTCGACTCTCGATGACGGGGGAAACACACCGCAGATCATCCCACAGTGTGAGTGCTCTATGCCTGATGTGCGATTCACACAGTGCTCAGTACACAAAGCACTCCTCTCCCTGGACATACACAAGTCGAGTGGGCCTGACAGAATCCCGCTAATTGTGCAGAGGACGTGCGCTTCAGATTTGGCACCGGTTCTAACGCGTCTTTTGCGGTACTCCTTCTCCCTAGGTATTGTCTCGAATTCATGGAAGACAGCTTTCGTGCACCCGATCCCTATAAAAGGTAACCGCACTGACCCGTCCAACTACAGGCCCAACGCCATCACCTCCTTGTTCTCGAAAAAATGGAGTCCATTATTAACTGCCTGCTCATGCGGTATCTTGAGGAGCACCAGCTAATTAATGACAGCCAGTACGGTTTCCGTCGGGATCGCTCAGCTGATGATTTTCTTGTTTACCTCACACATAGATGGCCGCAGGCGATTGAGTCCAAGGGGGAAGCATTGGGCGTTAGTTTGGACATAGCGAAGGCCTTCGATCGGGTCTGGCACAAAACGCTTCTTTTGAAGCTTCCTTCCTATGGGCTTAACGAGTAATTATACAATTGGATCACCAGTTTTCTAGCTGATCGGAGCATCAAGGTCGTAGTAGACGGTGCATGCTTCGATTACAAGCCTATTAACTCTGGTGTTCCACAAGGCTGTTTGCTATCACCAACGCTGTTTCTTCTGCATATTAATGATATTATGTTGCAAACCGGTAACATTCATTGTTATGCGGATGACAGCACTAGTGATGCTCTATACACCGGTCGTGCCAATATTTCTCGTGAAGTCAGTCAAGAATTCGTCGCCGAGTACCAGAAGTCGAGTCTTTGCTGAACAAAGTCTCGGATTGGGGGCGACTAAATCTAGTAAAGTTTAATCCTCAGAAGACACAAGTTTGCACGTTTATCACTAACAATAAACCTTTTGTAGTCTCCTCAGTTTCAAGGCACACCCCTTGTTGCCTTAGCCAGTATCGGAATGGTCGGTGTCGACATATCGAGTGACATGCAGTTTTGTGGTCACTCGGAAGAAAAGGCCAAATTGGCCTCTAAAAAGCTTGGCGTGCTCAGCACAGCAGGACAGAATTGAATGCTGGCACAACGCCTGCAACTTAACAAAGCGCAGGTTCGGCCTCAGATGGAATACTGTTCTAATCTCTGGGCTGGGGTTCTGCAGTTCCAGTTCCTTCCACCTGACCGCATCCAGCACAAAGCTGCTCGAATCGTCAACGACCGAGTCGGCCTTTCCGATCGTCTCGATTCACTGGCGCTGCGAAGAGATGTTGCATCCCTTTGTATTTTCTTTCGCATCCACCACGGGGAGTGCTCTAAGGAATTTTTCAGATTAATTCCAGCCGCCAAATTTCACGAACGCACATCGCGGCAATATTCCAGATACCATCCAGACCATATGGATGCTTGGCGGTCCACCACTGTATACCTTACCAAGTAATAGCTTACCACCGGCGATTTTTCCGAACCGATACGACTCGGGGACCTTCAAGAATAAAGCTTACTCCTTTCTAAAAGTCCGGGAACGCTCCTGCAATTCCTTTGGTGTTGCACTTCTTCATGGGCGGCGGGAGTTACTTACCATCATGTGAACCGAATGCTCGTTTGCCACCCTACTATAAAAAAAGGTTGGATAACAGAATGCTTCTTTTAGGGCAGTTGAATGAAAAAAAGGTAATTAAAAAGCACCAAGATGAAAACAATATACCTGGGCTTCAAAAGTCCCACAAGTACATAAACCACAAACCAGATAAGCTCTGACCGTAGGATGGGTGTCATTACGTCGACAATAGTAGAGACGTTCGAGCTGTAATTAAAAACATTGTAAGCAGGTAATCATCATCATTATCATTACAAACCTCCACAAGTACACTGCTGAACATAGGCTTCCCCCAAGGCCACAAAACATATTCCTGAGACAACTGCATCCATCGACTTCTTGCATGTCTTACCAGGTCTTACTCAAAGAAAATAAACAACAAACGAATATTCACAAGAGATAGTAATGTACCTCCATATAAATTAAGTTGTACTTTGAATCCCTACTAACTTAAAACATATTTCTGTGATACAACACTTACTAGAAACATTTAGACGTTATTTTGCGGAATCCATACAGATTGTGACCAATTACCATCCTACAAGTGTAATATCTCTCTACAAGATACAACAATATACTAGCTTGGATGTGAATTTAGTCTCAATTATAAAGGACATGCAAAACTAAATAAAAACCACAATTAAAGAGCATATAGCTGATGTGAAGCACCGATGCTCCTGGAAGTCCGCAGTATTTCAACATGTCAAAGATCGTCCTAACTATTTCATGAGATTTGATAGACCACAAATCCTCGCAAAATAGTACAGATTCCTACAAAAATTGATTTGCGAGGTTATTGAAATTAAAAACATCCTATCTGCTTGGGATTCCATAGAGCGCAAGCATTCTATTGCAGACTTCAAGATACTGTAAGTTCGTTTTTCGTAGGTCGAACGAAAGATTAATATTTAAAAATTGAATGTAGTCTTCGTTAACTATGACGTCATGATGTCAAATACCTTAGTCCATGGATGCTTTAAAGCGCCTCAAACGTCGGGAATTAAAATTTGGAATTAGACACCTAAAAAGAAAACACATACGCCGTTGCTGAAAACGTAATGACTGATATAGGGGCAATTTTCAAAATAATGGCCTACTCTCTTTTCTGACAGGGTACCGGAGCAGTTACCGTTTCAGTGCACGTTAAACCACTTCACAAGTCCAAGAAATATGTTTTATAATCATAGACATGATCTCCTCACGATGTTTATCTACACAGCAGAGAATCTTTAAACCAATTTTATTAACCAACCACGATTTCATTGACGTCGATACTGAGACTCTTACGCGAAAACGTAATTACACTTACGAATTATAATAAGAACTCGAACCCGTTATTTTGTTTTTCTAAAGCTATTACAATACCTCCATTATTCAAGTGTCACTTGACGGAAGCGAGTTACATTTATCAAGAAATATTCTTCATGACGTCTTTTATTCCAGACGAAATCTTCATATTATGAGGGTTGAGCTCATTTAAAAAGAAAATGAAAAACTGGGAAATAACAAATCATATTTGTTCTCTTTTTTCATGAACCTGAAAACGCGAGGATTGTCCATCACTGTACTAAAACTTATGAAATATGATATACCTGTTATAACAAGCTTTTTTCCAAGAATTCCATTAAAACATCGATCTAACATGACGTCCTTATATTATAATATTATTAATATTCCAATATATTATTATGGATCATTATGCCATGCAGTAGGGGAGTAAAATAATACCTTACCCCATCATCCCCGTGTGTTTCGTTAGAGGTGACATTAGGAAATGAAACAGAAGATAGGAAGGCATCTTCCTGATGACAACTCAACATTTCCCGACCCGGCAGCCAAACGTGACGAACGGTAAATGAATTGAGGAGCAATTTTACGTGCTATAAGATTTCACAGTCCATCGAATAGGTGCGTTTTTAGTGCTTTTAGCTGGCACTTAATCGAGTTACTCTCTCATAATAAAAAATGCGGCTGGTGCCCAGCTAACAAGCTTCGACGACTTTTTTGAAAAATATATAAACAGCGTAAAAAATATTGATACATTTAGTTCTTACACATGTAATTACAAATAATGAAGGCATCAATAATAATTAATTATTCGTGTACTACTTTACTTGTGTTATGTCAAAGATTTGAGAGCTTGATAATAGCGTGTACTTGTTATTTAGTTGTGCTTCTTGTAAAGCGCCTTCGAAAGTGAAAGAAGAAAGTGATTAACTGTTTCTACTTGCCGCAACTGCTCTCACTGGCGCTAAAGTAATTCCAGCCAACAACTCTAAATCCAAATTTCACAGACTGGAGAAAGCACAGCTATATCAGTGCCAGCACTGCATTCATCCAGCTAGCCTATAAATTACTTACCTCAGCGATGTTAGTATTAGCAAATCTTCCAGGAAAGGCTTGCCATTTTGCAAATTATTAGCAAGAGCTTCTTTTACTTGTGAACTTTAAATAACAGTCAATCTGTTCTCTTTTGACAATCATACATTTATAAATAAGTACATGCCTATATACGTTCCACTGCTAGAGCTTTCTCTTGTTTTTGAGAGCAATTAGTTCGCCGCGCTTCTACAGAGCGTGTTGATTAGCTTCACATCATGTCCTCGAATATTTGTATTCTTTAGACATGCAGGTTGCTTTACGATGTTTAACTTCACCGCCGAGCACAACACAAATTGCAATTAACCATTTTAGTGGAGCTGGAAGCAATACCTTGATGTAGTGTTCAAGTCTAAAATAAATTAACTAGAAACTCCGAAAGAAAA